GTTCCATCTTTGACTTTCTCTCCATCTTGTTCCTCTCTTATACTCCTCTAAGAGCTTCCAAATGCTTCCACTTTCACACAACTGATGAATGGGCTGGTAGAAAACCAGCCTACCTAGCAACAGCCAAGCTGGCTTTCTGATCTCCACCCCACCTCCCAATCAGCATTTCTTCCCAAGAACACAAAGAATTAAGGCACAAGATGGTGTGAGCATCTTGCGACAGGCATCTGGAAGATGATGGGATTTCCCTGATGCGTCTCACATTGTGTAACTGCAAAATGGATAGAGCCCACAAAAATCCCTGCCCCCGCTTTTAATTATTTTTATGCAGTCTTTTGCTCACCCTCCCTTCATTTTATTAAGAATTAATTTTTTATTTTCATCTGATTTGACAAAGAGCAAATTTGCACAATGGTATACAGGCTTTCCAACTTTCACAGTACATGCTCTGGGCTCGGCCTTTTAAACTCTTGCCTACCCAAGAGATGAGGGGAAACAAGTAGCCAGCAGCCACTGTGTCAGGTTCAACACCTTAGAAAGAGCATTTGTCCTGGCATTTGGAATAGACATTGCCCAGTTTATCAGCAAACATTGAGAATAAATGGGCCAACTGCTTCTAAGGGTGCTACTTCACATGGGTGGGGCAGTTTTTGCAAACTTTTAAACATTCCACACCTTGGAATCTCCAACAAATAAAGCAAATAATCCTATAGCTAGACTGTGTCACTAACAGCATTTGAGGAGCACTGAATACAGAGGTGAGATTTCAAATACGAGCTGGAAAACTGCTGTGCTATAATCAGTCATAATTTAATGCAATCACAGCAGGTATAAGAATACCTGAAATACATGAAAGAGTCTTCCCAATTGGGGATTATTCCTTCCAAGCAACAATCAAAACACCAGGAACCATAAAACCAAATTAAAGCAGCCGCATGGCCACTCTATAAAGGGAAAAGGAGCTTGCAAGGGGCATCTATGTATGGAGTTTGCTACAAGTGGGGGTGGGGGGGGCGAAGAATAAAATAAGATTAAAGGATACTCCCTCCCATATATACACACATATACTTTGAATTTTAAACAGCTTAGGTGAGGAGAAAGCAACTTAAACCTATGGGCACCAATTTGCCCACAGTCAGCTTCTATGGTATTTGTTAAGCTCCTTGCTCCAAATTATTTCTTTCTTAAATATTTCAAGTTTTAAAGAAATGGAAATTTGGCACATTGCAAAGTCCCAGCATTATTTCCAACAGACATTTGGGTCCCCACAGGAATTCTTAGAAAATAGAACCAATGAATGCCTGCAGCTTAGTGCTCTTCTTGGGAAGTGTGCTCATGTGGAAAATTAATGTTTTGTAGCTGGCCCCATTCATTATGACAGCCCCTCTGCAAATGCCCAAACATCTCTCCCTCATGGAGGTATTTTATTAACACATTATCATAATTCAACCATTTCCTAGCCTTCATCGCAATAATATTAACACATCTGTTGCAATCCAAAGTTTGGCTTTGGTCCCAATCAACCAGAATAGAGCTGGAAGGGACATTGGAAATCTTCCGATACAACCTCTTACTCAAGCAGGAGATCCTATATCATTTCAGACAGATCGCAATCTAGTCTTTTCTTAAAAACCTCCAGTGATGAAGCACCCACAACTACTGAACTTAAGCTGTCCCACTGGTTAATTATTCTCACTCTTAGGAAGTTTCTCCTTAACTCCAGATTGCTTCTCTCCTTGAGTAATTTCCATCCATTGCTTCTTGTCTTGCCTTCTAGTGCTTTGGAAAATACGTTGATCCCCTCTTCTTTGTGGCAGCCCCTCAAATACTGGAATACCGCTATCATGTTACCCCCCTAGTCCTTCTTCTCCATGAAAGGAGAAGTATTTCTATAGAATCTATCTTCTAAGGATCCCTGTAGCATAGTGTTTAAAGTGTTGGAAGACTTGGACTTGAAAGACAAGGAGGAAGTCTAGATTCAACTACAAAGTTCAGAAGGTGAGTGAACTGTCACTGCCTCTCAGTCCAATCTACCTCCCATGATAGTTATGACCATAAAATGAGAGGGACTTTCATGTATACCAAGTTCTCAAGGTAAAAGCGTTAGACATATGTAATAAAATACATAAAAGGAAATGCATTTATTCAAACCTCTCTCACAGCCTTAGATTAAGAAAACCATAAGCCTGCAACAGGTTCCAAGAAAGGGATTATTTTTTTTTGCATGTAAACTGAACAAGGAAGTAATTCTTAGGCTCAAAGAAGAATAATTGATGACACTCTTTCCAACCATTGGACCTCACAATCCAATCCCCACAATGGCCAATTCTCCCCAGACTCTTGGCTAGTACATTTCATTTCTGAATGGTGGTTTGCAATAGGTCTTCCATGGCTTGAGACTAGCATAACTGAGCAAGTGTTTATCACTCACCAAAATATCTGCACACTGTAATAATCAGTGGAAATCAAACAAAGTAAGACAACTGGAGGAAAGGGCCCTCTGAAATGTTTTTTGGGGGGTTGGAAAGTTCTTCTGGGGCAGTAGGCCTTATAGTTTTCCCACGTTCTAAACAGCCTGTTATTTTTCTAGGATTTTTTTTACAGCTTTTATGATTCTAAGTTAAAAACTCTTTTAAATGGAACTTGATGCCTAATGATTAAACAGATACATCTATGTAGTTTTCTATAACAATGTAGGCATGTTTTCCTATTGCCTTTTTTCAGACTGTTTTTCCATTTTAGTGCAGTCTGGAGGGGGAAAAAAATCTATCCTAGAATTGATGCTTTAAGAAATTCAATAAATAAGTCTTCCTAAGGAGCAATTTCCAAGCTGAATTCAAGAAACCACCCACGGAAAGGGGTTTTAATAGCCAGACAATCAAGAGATTTGGATGTCTCTGATACTGTCAGTTATTATGGTTCCCACCAAAACAGAGCTTATTTTGTTAATACCATCATTTGTATTCCCTCTCTGGAACATCCAATTCAGCTAAAGCTGGTGACCCTTTGGCTAAGATTTCCCAAAGGAACATAACAAATTAAAAAACAATTTTTGCTCTGGAGGAAAGCTGGAAACTATAACAGGAGAGGGACAAACAGTATCTATCTGGGAATTCTCAGCATCCAAAAAAGATAATTTCCATAAATGGGGGGGGGGGGATGGGACGGGACGTTGAGGTTAATTTTAAACAGGAGAAATTAATTGTATTAACCCAACTTAAATGAAATGTACTCCTGTGGGGCTCGGTGCACTGCAACGGTGCAAGGAAATATGCCAAGTAATCCACAGGGTTCACTAGGCCAGTCCAGACTCCCTTTAATTAATTCTCAGCAAATGTAATTCAATTACTGCCAAGAAACATCGGGCAGCAGATTTAAACATGTTGTTAATCTCTATATTGTAGCAAAAAACCAAAGAAAACAGAAAACAATTACACCAGCATTTGCATTTGATCTTGGCAAATATGGCATAAGATTCACTGGCCTCCAATTCCCGCCCCCATCTTTATAGCTGATATACAAATAATCTTCCATATTAGAGTCTTTTCCCCCCTGTATATTCACTTGCGAATCGAACTGGGCTACCTCTGCTACTGAAGAAAAATGTGCAATCAACACATCTAGATAAGAAAGAAAAACCTGAACATAGGGAGTGCCAGAATTTCTCTCTGTCAGATGCCGAACATAATCAATCAAATCCTTATAATCCTTGCTACTCTTTTCACATACCAGGTCAATTGATATACATCGATAGGTTGCATGTAGGAATTTCACTGAGCAGATTCTGCAGTCCAACTGTTTTCAACCCATCCATCTGCCAAATGTTACGCTTTAAATCTGGACACTTCCTTTATTATTGTTTTTAGTGCTGTGCAGAGGTCTGGATTCGAAGAGAAAAAGGTAATCCAAAGGACCCATAAATATGCATGTAGCATTTGGAAACTCTTCAGGTTCTCTTTTCCTTGAATCATGCAAACAGCTGTGGAGGGGAGCCATGTAAGCCCAAGGGAAAAATATGGCACCTTTAAGAAGCTGCCAACAGGTGCTACATGTACACCCACGGATGTTCTGAATCACTTCTCCCTTCAAATCTGGATCTCTGCACAGCCCTTAAGTGCCAGACAGGAAAAGTTTCCCAGATGATTCTTCCCAGGGGTCCCCAATCCCACCAATGGTAAGGAAACAATGACTGAGCTTAACCATGCTTTATTGTGCCACAGATTTTAGACATCAGAAAAGCTTGGTTTGCAACTTTTACTGGTTTAGTCAAAGAACTGGACTCTATCACAGCTTTGAAGAGAATCTTCTTTTCATCTCCTAAGGTGACTTAGCAGGAGTTTCAGCATAACTGAGACTGGCTCCTACGGTCAGCTCCAACCCACCTGGGTTTCTCTGCAGAGCAAGAAAATGCAAAAATGACTATGCTGTGACAGAGCTGAGAACTGAACGGGTGCAAAGATAGCTTTGAAGAGACTTATGTACAAACAATATTTGCTCACCGTGGTACAATATCCTATTTTGATCTTACCAAATGTGGAGGACATTCTTTTCAGGGACCGCCAACTCTTCTTCACTCAGATTAAGTCATTGAAATCCCCTTTGAAAATCCCTTCAAGAACTGTATCTCTTGGCTTATGTCCAAGAATCTTCCTGGCTCCAAGTCAAATGGAGAACTTTGCCAATCCGTCCAGTTTAGGATGTAAATTTCACATTGGCTAATGCCTCTCAGCCAGCAACTATCCCATCTTAACCATAACCCACTCCTAAATTCTCATTTCCAAATTCCTTCACTTCAGTGGGTCAAACCCCAATTCCATTTGTTCAATTAGAACAATTCTCTGGCTTTCTTGGTGAAGTAAATACTAAAAAGCCAAGCACCCTCAATATGCCAAGCAGGAACTAAGTAAGGTCCAGTCCATGCATCCAGACATCTGCTACTGTTGTTGGAGAATGTCAAACCCCCCACCCCCCCGATTCTTGCTGAGATCCCACCCTCTTACCTGGCGCAGGTGCTTCAGCAGATCAGTCGCCTCCTCGTGCCTGCCTTGTTTCACCATCCTCAGCATATCTTGGATCAGGACGATCCGGCGATGGTACGGGGGGAGGCTACCGCCGCCAGCCCCCTTGCCAAACTTTTCACTCGATCGTACTACGAGGGACGCCAAGAAGTTTCCGCGCTCCCGAGAAGGCAAAATCCGTCGGCGGCTGGCGGAGAGGGGACCCTGGGGGCTGCTGCCGCTGCTGCTACCGCTACCGCTACCGGCGGTGCCGGGCAGCGAGCAACCCTTGGTCTGTTTGGCGCCCATACTGAAGCAAAGCCCACCCTTCCTCTCCCTCTCCCGGCCTTCAGGAGGACATCCTCGGCTCCTGCCCAGAGAGAGAGGCTAACGGGAGCAGCCGCAGCGCCGAGAGGACAGAAAGGACGGCGTCTCCGAGCATCTCCTGCCAGCAGAGCCGAGGGATGGAGGGATGGACGCCCTCTCTGGCTCTTCTCACGGGGCGAGCTGCCTACCAGCCCGGCTGCTCTCGTCCTTCCAGCCTTTCGCTCAAGAACCTCCCGCCCGTCCGCCTGCTAGCTCCGGGCGCAACTTCAGGGAAACTGTTGCACATCCGGACCGAGCGCAGAATGGGCGTCGCCGGAGTCGGGAGGAGGTATGCGCGGGCCGGGCGAGGGGAATCGCAGCCCAGCCGTTCCGAGCCGCCAACGCCGAACGAGCCAGGCCGTCTCCCTCCTCCTCCTCTGCTACGATCCGCCTCGAGCTGCAGCTGGGCTGGGCCAGTCACAACCCCTTCCTGGCTGGTCGCGTCTCTGCCTGCCTGCCTGCCTGCGCGCTCCCGTCCTTCTGGCTAGCCTCCTCGCTCCGCCTGCCGAAGGGGGTGAAAATACACAGCCACCGCCCCCTGCTTTGCCCGGGAGCACGTGACGAGCTTCTCTCTCTCTCTCTGAGCACGTGCAGAGCGCGCGTCCTCTCTGGCGCGAAAGGAGCCGAAAAACGTCGCCGGTGGGAAGGCGGGGGAGGGAGAGGGAGCGACCGAGCAGGTTCCCAGCTCCGTTTCCGCCGCCAGCGAGGCAGCGAGCAAATGCCTTCTGGCTGCGCGCCGCTCGCTGTCTCCGATAAGTGCCGTCTGGAACAGCGGCTGCACGCTCTGCCTCTCGAACTCCCCACCCGAAGCCAATTTCCCACCGTGCGGATCGGACTGGCAAGGGAAGCGGGGTGGTTTGGAGCAGCGGAGGTTTCTGTCCAGCCCCGCCATTCGATTTAAAAAAAGAAAAGTATCCAAGAAACAAAACAGGTCGAGGCTTCCGGCGTCGCAAGGACGTTGTGATCTCTCCTAGCCCCAAGACTATGAGAGACACAACAGGGGGCCGTCTGCCAAGGGACCTTAAGACAAGAGGTAGTACTTTGAGTAGGTCCAGTGACTATGGAGATTGTCAGTCGTCCAGGTCGGGGTTGTCCCAAAGTGCTTTTTCAATAGGCAACTGGACTTTCTGTTTTTCCTTTGAAGACTTTTCGCTTCTCATCCCAGAGGCTTCAAAGAAAAAAATCCAGTCCTGAAGAAGCTTCTAGGATGAGAAGTAAAATGTCTTCAAGGAAAAACAAAGTCCAGTTGCCTTTTGAAAAAGCACTTTGGGTAAGGTCCAGTGAGTTCGGACAACCCCCTAACCCTGCGTTGCAGAAAAATAAGTACTTGTTGCATGACTTGTTAACGCTGAACCACTTGACTTAATTGCTAAGACAATTTTTGGTTTCCCCCAAGATAACTTAACCAAAATTACCCAAACTCATTTTAGCCTAGATTAGTAGATCAGGCTACTCACTCTGTGCATATCACCATCTATTTTATTCAGAACCTGTCTTTTCTCTGAATGTTGGGTGGGTGGCATATTGACTAGTTTTAGTCTGCTACAATCAGTTTATCTGGTAGCTTTGACTGAGAAATTAGCTAAAATCAGATAGTTTTGTGGGCAGATTGCTATTTCTTATCTCTTAAAACTAAGAAGTTCTATTTGTAGCCCTTCAAATAACTCAGGATGTTACAACCAAAGAGTTTTCCTTCAGAATATTGTCTACCATTCTTTGTCTCTAACTTAATGGTTTAATCTTACAAATCAGTGAGCCACCAAAACAACACTTTAACCTTTTGAAACCTTTGGGTTTCAAACTCCCCAGAACTGCTGGAGAAGTCTGCAGTTTTCCTGCAAGATGTCAAAAGTGATTTGATATTTGAATAAGCTAGAAATTAGGATGTGTTTTTTTTAAACAGATTTCTTCTAACTAGTCTTAGAAGAGTTCATTCAGCATTGCTGTGTGGTTTAGTGCTCTAACTATAGTGTTACAACAAGCCTTAGAGAAGAGGCTTCTCTTACTCTTCGGTTTCTTGCAGATTTGCAGTTTCTCTGAGGTTTGCTTTTAAAAATGCTATTCCAAATACCATGGAACCTCCTTTCACTTTCCTAGCCAGACTAATATATTGCTCATACTTATACACAAGAATCTAGTGAACTAACAGTTAGGACTAAATTGGTGTTAGACAAAGAGTTAATGGAATTCAGGGGCTGCTGGACTTGGATTGCTTGTGGGACTATAAGGACTCCAGGCAGAGTCCTCTCTCGATTCTGCCCCCACTCTCTGCCTCTTCTCTAACAAAGACTTAGCCAACCTTGAGTAATGTTAGAAAGCAGTATTGGACTTGGATAAGAGAATTACATAAAACTCAGCAACCTTTGCTAAATAGTGAGATTAAAAGGGCATGTGAACAAGCCACTGGTAAACCACTTCCGTGTTGGTCCCTGGAAACAATATGGCTGTGTTCATGGGTACAGAACCATATATTTCATGTTTATGAAACGCAAATCTTTATAGGACAAAAGCTTCCAGTTCCGGCATCTACTCCCCATTCTGATGTCAAATGTACCTGCAGAAATTACTTTCAGAATCAGTAAGAAACTTATGAAAATATTCAGAGGCTGACACAAAACTATAATTATAAACTGTTACATCACAATTAATATATGATCCTTTAAGATTCTAACTATGACAGTGTTCTGAGACTCAAATACAATTGTGTAAATATAATCAATTATGAAATTATACTGAGGTTTAAAAACATTAATGCCATATGAATTCCAGGATCCCAGAGGATTCTCCCCCTGGTTTTCAGAGGAACCTATGGAGTTGAAGTGAAATAAGACACCCAGAACACTTCCAGAGAAAGAAAAAGGGCAAATTCAGCCAGGAATAGTTTAAGAAACTTTATTAAGGTTTACACCATGAAAATAAGAAAGGCAAAACAGGTATTTTCCACTCTTTTTTGCATCAACAAATTGTTCTCTGGCAGTCCTGTGTAAGGTAGCCCATTCTTCCTAGATAAGAGAAGGTCAGATCATTTGACCTTTGAAAGGACTTTTTGAGAAATCTATCGGATAAGGTTGTTTGGATTTACTCTGAGTTGAACTTTATCCATCCACGTCCTGTGGTTATCTGTAATGAGTTTAGCCTATTTGTCCCAAGGAATGGACAGAATTCTCGAGACTATGAGTTGTATCAAATCCATGTCCTTCCAGGATGGCTCAAGGCCTCCCAGGAAATTATCTAGTCATGGTGAATTCATACTTCAATGAGGTTTACCTCCTTAGGAAATCAGTTCTGAGCTGTTTCCAACTTTCCCTTGGGCATGATTGTGGAGAAAATGGGTAGGCTGCAGCTTCAGAGTGCTTTAAATCCAAGGTTTTCTGGATCTTTGAGTATAGGATCAAAACAATATTGATCACCCCCATGGTGGGACTAGGGTATAGCCATCCTGACCTTCTTTTGATTTCTTGATGACCTTTGATACAATCAGTCATGGTATCCTTCTGGATGTGCTTGATTTTACGAGTGGAAGACATAATATGATTCCTTTTCTCCAAGTTGGCTCCAGATGTTCATGGGGAAATGAGAATCATTGACCCTTGCTTTGTGGGTACAAGTTCCTCACGACTTGATTCTTTGTGCCCACTTAACATCTACAGTACATCACACCACTAAATAAGGTCACTGGTATAGAGTTAGTTGTCATCAGATATAGCCAGATTGTCTAGCTATCTCAAGAAATATGGATCAAGAGCACCGAGAAAGTTATCAAGACTGAATAATTATGAATTTTGAGGCCTCTTGGATCTAGGGATTTTCTCTGGTTCTGAATGTAGTGCTATACCCCATTGGCCTTACCATTAATTACACTAGTAGATCTAGTATACATTTTGAGGGTAGTCCTAATCTCATAATTCCTCTTGAAAGATAAGTGGCAGTCATGGCTTGGGGATCTCCACATAAATCCATCTTATGCATCAGCTACTCCAATTTCTGGATCAGGAGGTTGTACTCAGTCCCTCATGTTTCAGTTCCATTGTCTGGATTCCCTTGTGCTGTATACTGAAGACACCTTTGAAACTACAGCTGGTCCAGAATGCAGCAGCATTAGTTATAGCGGTATCTTGGTATGCCCACATAGCACTGCTACTTTGAGACTACACTGATTGCCAGCAGGTTTTCAAGTGCAAGTCGCTGGTTATCAAAGCACAGAGCCTGATTATTTGCAAGATCACCTATTTCTAATTATTTGCACCTGTTGAATAAAATCTGATAAGCTTGGCGTGTTCAGAGTCCTGTTACACAAGTAATCTGGTGGGACTTAAAAGGCATGCCTTCTCTGCTGGTGCACCTGCACTATGGAATCTATTCCTCAGAACATCCAGATGGCCCCAACATTAATTTTTGTAAGGTTTTGAAGACTTGTTTATTGCCCCAGGCATTGGATGAGGTCTTGTGAACGTATCTGGATTGGTTTTGGTTGCTGGATTGCATCTGGCAAAATTTGGTTTTATGTTTTTGTATTATTGTATACCACTCTGAGTTGCCTTATCAAGGGCGCAGTTATAAAAAGTGACTAAATAATTTCCCAGGAGCAACAATATGGATTCTTTTTCTATAGCCATAACCAACGATCTCAGAAGTAGATGATATTTAGATGTCCACCATTTAGATGTCCAATGTTTGATTTAGCAAGTCCCTTGGATGAAACCGCTGAAAGAATATTACGAAGGTGCTTTATCTGGATCAAAGCCACAAGTGGATTGCAGAACTTCCAAAGTAGCAATGTTTGTTAATCAGGAGTTTATATTGGAATCTCCCATTTCATATACTAGGTTTTTCCTATTCCCCTGGGTCACCGACTAAGCAAATTTGGGACTTGGGCAATGTTGTCCAATTGTTCCAGACCAGGAATCATGCACTTTCTTGTAACCCATAATGCTGCAGGCAATGAAGTAGATGCTAAAACACTCTGCTTTGAAAAAATTCTCAACTGCATTGTGTATTTTCACCATTTATACCCCATTCTTCTGTGCACCAAAAAGGGACTTCGGATATCTTCATTTGTAAAGGGGGGTTGGTCCAATTCATGAAAAGTGTTTTTTTTTCCAGTGAATAATAAGCAAAACCTGAAAATTGATTTCCCATATATATCTTGCTGCAAAGTACACAGAGCTGGTCAGAACTCAGTAGGGGATGATAGCCAGATGTTTTAAAAAGAAATTTAATGTTTTTTTGCTATTCTGTGATTTCTATTGCATTAATCGTAGTTACTATTGCTATTCCTAATATTTATGTTTTGTAGTTCTGCTCATTTTAATCTTGTTTTAATCTAGGTTTATTTTTGTAATAATTTAACTATCATGTGCAGAGTTCCTGTCATGGCGTGGTAAAAAAGCACAACATAAACACTGAGAAACATTTTCATTTCTGTAATTGAGA